ACTATTACAATATAATTTGTTGGAACATGACAGAGTAGGCTGACTCATGTTTAACCAACTTAGCATTTCAATACATTTGATGTTTTTTTGCCCGACAAAAGCAACTACAAATATTTCACAAAGATCTCTTAGTTCATAGCACTGAGGCCAAAGATTTATGTTTGATCGAAAGTAAGAATTAGCTCTTAAATACTCTGCTATGCTTTTGTCTAATGACCCCTTGGACTGATTAACTGTTCCTTTTTGTAAATCCCTTAGTGAAAATTAACTGATCGAAATTAAATACATACAGTATAATTCTCTACTATGTGGATAATGGCATCCAATATGTCACAAAATTTCATGTTTTTAGATTTAGTTTTTTTTTTTTCTAAAACCTGATTACAAAGGGTCTGAAAGGGCACCTGTGGCCCGCATGTCATTCTCCACTCTCTCTACTCTATCCGTGTATCCAAATACAGGCAACCCCCCCACCTCAAAATAGTTGTAGATGGGATTTTGAGAGCATTTAATGTTTGCGGCTAGACACTTAACTTACCTCTGTGCATGATCTGGTGTTTCTCCCTCAGGTATGCTAATCCCCTCAATACCTGTAGAAAAGAGGAGATATTTGACACAACAAAATGTCAGTTTATATACATAAAACAACACTTTCTCTGAGTAGATATTCATTCAAGAAAAAAATGACTCTGTTTCTACTTAAATTTGCTTTCTGAACACAACTGTGTAAGTTGGGTGAACATAGTAGATCGTGTTGACTGAACAACACACGAGAAACCCAACCACAACAAACAGTACAAGCACGTATATATGATCTTGCATATGCACAGTCTATTGTGCAAGACCATTCCTAAATCTTGTTATTATATATTACAAAGTAAAAGGTTCAAGACATGCCGAATCATTGCTAAACTAAAACATATCAATCATATCTAACTAGCTGCTCTCAGGTCAATACCAAGATATTCAAATGTAGCACAACAACATAAGTACTTACAGCTATGCTAACTTTTCCCAAGATTTCTTCTGGAATTCTCCTGGCTTCCTTCAAGACCTGATCCAAGGATCCACCATCCTGTTGAGATGAACTGAACAGTCAAAACCATATTGATCTTTGCAGGCACAACAGTCAACCTCCCTGTCATTTACAAAAGAAACATCTTGCTGGTATATCTAGCCACATCAATCATTGCTAGGTGGCTTGTTAACCGTCTCACCATATGTTCCATACAGATGCTGATCTCTCCATCGCTGTAAAAGGCCCCATAGAAACCCACTATATAGGGGGAGTTGCATTCATGCAGCACCTGCAGCTCTCTGATAATCTGGTTTCTGATGGCAGGCTTGATTTCCAGGTGGATCAACTGGGGAGAAAAAGTACATGAACATAAACTGCCGTGTTTATCGTGTTCACACTTCAGAGTCTTTCTATGTTATATCAGACATTTGCTTGCTTGCTCAATTTGCAGCTACAGTGTCTGTGTGATGTCTGAAACACTTAGTGTTGTAAAGTGTTCAAATTAAATTGTGGTTTATGAAGAAGAAATAAACACTGTGCAATTGATTACAAGCATATGACAATAAAAGGAATAGCAATCAATAAAAAAACACACTAAATAAAAACATTTGGATTTTTCAAATAAAAACATGAAATAAATTAATCTGATGAGGATCGCTTCAGATTTGATTAAATGTTGAAGATATGCTTATGTACTGAACCAGACATTTTAGACTGAACAAAATGTTACCACGTTATGCTCGGACCACCATTCTACATTTTTGTGTTATGTCGGACTGATGTGTTAGTGATGGTTGCATACAATCTTCATTGTTCAGTTTTCTTTACAGAGCAAGCTAGTGTGGTCCTATTTATGCAGAAGTGGGTGCAGCAGAGCAGGCCATATACAGCCCTATGAGGTAATCATAAATGTTTGATCTGCACTAGAAGTTCAAGCTGTGTTTTAATTCAGTTCCCTTCACCTGTCACGCCTCACCTTTCGAGCCATGACCAAACCCGAGGGTTTGTGGCGGACTTTGTTGACGACTCCTCCGTTTCCAGCACCCAGCTCACATATTGGGTCAAAATCCTCGTCCTTCAGCTCCCCAACCTGAGCTTTCTGGGTGAGGAAGGCTTCCAGTCGTTTCCGCTGTTGTTCGTCCAGGTCCAGCTCACCCAGTTTCTTCTGTAAGGCCTCAAGGTTTGCTCTGTGATGAGGAGACACTTGGTTTAATAAACAGATATACAGAAGTACTACTAAAGTAACTTTCACAGGTTCAGGTTACTTTATTTGTACCCATAGGTAGAGTAGTTCGCAGCCAGCAAGATCGACATCCATCACGACACACAGATTACAAGACAAATGTAACAATGAACAACACATAAAAGAAAGGAGGAGATCTAAACCAACTCAAACATGTAACTAAAAAAAGATAGGACGTGATAGAAGCACTCGAGGCTCCACCACTCAGGGTAGAGGTGAGAGAAACACCTGTATTTGATCCTGCAACTGAGCAAAGAAACCCCAGCAACTCAACCCTCCATAACCCAGTAGTTTCCTCCACATCATGCACACACCCAGACAAATTGACAACATACATTTTACATAGACAGACGCAGATCTCCTTTTTGTTTGAATGTTTTCTTTTATTTATTTTTGGTGCCCTGTAAACATCAGGTCCTCTGCCTCCTCAGCTGACATAACTGACCCCCCCCCCTATGGATGGAAAAAGGGCAGAAGTCTTAAGTCTACCTGTATTTGAATGTTGGCCCATAGGACAATATCACACAGTGCTAGTTAAGGGTGATGACTTGGGTATACACACATTAACGTAGGTAAAATGTAAAGCTATACTTGTTGTACTTACTCTGATGCAGCATCAATGGTGTTAGAAGTGGCCTGTCCCTCCCCAATGGGCCTGATGTTCAGGGGAACGGGTCTTCTTTTGGGAGCCATTACAAGAACTATCCTAAACGCCTTTCTCAAATTGTGTACTAACCTCTAGTATGCTTGGCAGCTAAAAAAAACAAAAAAAAAAAAAAAAAACACCCCTTAGTTTGCTCGGAACTGAGTCAAAAAAAGAAGCAACAGGACAGGCTAGTAACTTGGCTAACGGTGGCAAAGTTAGTGTACCTTCTGTAACATGTCAGTCAGCTATTTCTGTAAAGCTTATCATACCGAGGTAATGTTCAGAAGCCCGGTTGTTACTCGGTGCATTTATAGCCTCTGTTGCTCACTCATTTCTTTAATGCGTCTGCTGGGTTATCTTCCTGCTGCGGCTAGTCAAATAGCTGCTACAAGCTAACACCAGCTCCTGAAAAAAACCCGTGTCCTGCGTCTCTCGTTGTAAACCTGCAGCCTCTCTCTCGTCTGCTTCTTCCAAAACAACGCACCGATTACCGGCGGATACACCGGGAGGAGGGGGTGGTGGTGGTGGTGGTGGGGGGGGGGGACTGCTCGACCGGCTTCCCTTAGATGGACAAGCAACGCCCGAGCAACAAATACCTCCGTGACTCCGTGAGGGCTCTGAAGCGAAAGGGCTTTTGCCCAGGCTGGAGGTGCTTCAATACAGGAAGCAGCAGCTGCAGCATCAGACCTGTGTGACACCCACAGGGAGAGTCCTTCAGAAACAACGCGAGACTGAAGGCAGTCTGACAAGTTGAAATCGTGAGATGATCTCATGGGATATGTAACATGTCCGAAGAGCGTGAAAACACCTACAGTGTGCTGCTGTTCATGAGATAGAGGCTATTTATTTGTAGTTTTCTACCCATGCAGCTTTCGTGTGTTTTTTTATGGCAGTTCCTGGAACAAGGCAGTGAAGTACATGACTGCCATCTAGTGGCAACAAGAGGAAACTGAAGATTCACTTTAAATCAGTATATTTTTTTTAATTGTGAGAAAAAAATGTAAGGGTAAACATGTGGAATTGTTCTTTGTTGGAAAGCAATTCAATTTGCATTACTTTTTTTTCAGAAACAGGTGATTATTATTATTTTTGCAAAATATACAATGTGCTCCCTTATTTTTATGGAAAGAGTTTGCACGGACAAAAACCTACTATAAAATACTCAAAGTTTCAGGATCATTAAATAATCAATTTCAAAAATGGTTCATCTAAAGGGTAGCTACTAAAAAGACCCTATGTTGGGATATGTAGTCTACATCTGCAAACTTCGCTATAGGCCTTAAGTAGGAAATATATATCTTGTGCAATAAGAAAGAGGAAGCTGTGACACAATCGTGATTCACTTACTGTGCACAAATTGATGTATCTTTAAGCCATAACATTCCTCTGCAAAATGTTGAAAAGGTTAGCAAAAATTGTAACAATTCTCATCAAACAGGTCAGGATAGACCACAGATTTATGTGATAGTTGCTAAAGATCTTTAAGTTGAATTATAAAACTCTCCTCCTGTGCAGATTTAAGCAGTCATTATTGAAGTATAACTAGACAGACTGGTGTGATAACACATTTCTTAGTATGCTATAATGCTTAGCAATAACACCTTGTTAAAAAATGTATTTACTTTGATTCAAAATTAGGATTACAGCTAGACATGGTTTGTATTTTCCTTGTCTTGACAGATATACAGAAATTGCTCAGTAGTTTGAGGCGACCAACATGTCGTCACAGAGTTAGTGGGTCGAGTAAGGCCAGTGACCTTTCTTGCATGTCACTCATCTCTCTCTCTTCCCTCATTTCCTGTCAGCTATATACTTCCTCCTGACTAATAGGGGCACAAATCCGCAACTACTTATGTGTAACAATGACCTCAATAGTACTTTTAAGTGACTCAGTTTCAAAGAGGACTAAATCTCTACAGCATAGACTTGTTTGCTTTCCCTGAGGATGATCCTAATGTTTTTAGAAGCACCTGCAGACATCAATACTGGAAACAAGATGTGCTGCTTTTTTGTCCCTGTGGATCCTGTCGTTAAAAGCAGCAGTCTGGCCGAGTAAACAGACACTTTTTGGAAAAATAAACCATTGGCAGACATTTCTTTAAGAACTGATTTTAATTAATTCCACACGTCAATAACAGCTGTTAGAATACGATAATTTTTAAATTTTACAGTTTTATCCTCAACAGGCATCAAATGTGTCCCCAGATCTGAGCGTTTGGTACAGAACATAAAGATCTCCACCTTAACCAGTCCTCCCAGTCCTCTGTGGCATCAGCTCCAGATGCTGCTGCTGCCCTCAAACAGCTTCATATTGTCTGTTTGCCCATAGGAACAACTGGAGGCGATTCAAGGCTTAATAAAATATTATTTAAATTTTATTGTCTTTTAATATGAACATATAAAAAAACACAACAAACAAAACATTTACATCATGGATTGTAAGCCTCTGCCCATGCTACCGTATGCATTGTAATAAGAAGAGATGCCACTACAAAAAGACCAGACCCTCAGCTCTCTCCCTAGCTCCAAAAAACAACCTGCAAACTCATCTGGCTCAGATCCACAGAAGCAACCTGCACCACCACTCATCTTTTACCATAAAAGGTAGAGAAAAGTTTGGATATCCGTTCAAAGAATGACATTCTATGCCTATCAACAAATGAACAATGTAATTTTTATACTTATAGAAGTTACTTACAAATACAAATTGCAGAGTTCTTTACATTATTTTGCTTCAAAGCACGTCATACACAGGATCCATGTTTCAGGGACAGGCTCTGATGTATTACAGCCAAAGTGCTATCAATCTGAGTGAATGATCAACCATTTTTCATCAGTGTATTGATTTTGTAACTCATGTCAATGTGTCAAAAGGTGGAGAAAAATGGAAGACCAGATTTAACTCGATCTATCTTTCACTGTATCCAAGAATGGATCAATGTTAAAATGTCCCTCCTCTGTGCATCTGAGCAAAGGAACCAGATTCTGAGCTGATCAAACCACCACTGAAGGACAATGAGAGAGGAAACACACGATGCAGAACCTATAGTCTCACAGCAGGGTCAGGGCTGCTTCTTATTGAGATTCCCTGTGCATGAGATGGTAAAGAACAGATCACAATAGTCGGGTCTTTAAAACAAACACGCCTTAAACTCGGGATGAAGAATCAGATGAAAGTGCAAACAGCTCTAGCACACGTCTCATCTTCAAGAAAACACTGACGACCTACCAGCCCAAGTACCCTTATCTGAGGAGCAGATACTGACAATACTAGTGCGGGTGCAGAGGATTATAAGTTGTGAGCGTACAGCATGTAGCAAATAGCATCCAATTCTGTTCCAGCAAATAGATGTGAACTTATCTACACTGAAAGGAGGCCGAGGGGGATTGTTGTTTGGAGCAGCTGCACTTGTTTAAGACAAGACCATTTGTAATCCAATCAATGACTTTAAGCTTGGTGGGGTTGCACTCATTGACACTTCATTAAGTTTTGTTTTGTCAGACATGTTGAACCTACTGCAGCAGAGTACTCCGAATGCTGCTTTGACCCCCCCCAGGTTCGATTCACTAACAGAAAAAGGAAAAGGAAGCGTTCCTCATCAGCACAGCATGAGCCTGAAATCATCATAACTGAATAATCCTACCACTGCAGCAGAGGTGTCCTGCTTTGCAAACATGATAGCCCCCTGATTGTACAGAACTACAGTCCAATATAATGAAGGTTTAATAGAAAAACATGATTCTTTCAACGGACACCAACAATGCGATACTGTAGCACATCTGAACCTTGTTCAATAACCGTCCTTCACCACAGAATTTTCTTCAGCTTATCTGGGAAATCTTAAAGGAAATATAACCACTTCTCTAAGATTGGGTCTGCTGGCAAACAGAGCTAGCGTTAAAACAACAGCCACCAATCCTCAGCGTTCAAAAAAAAAAAAAAAAAGGCACCAAAATCTTGAAAAACAATTCCTGTCTCTGAGTTCTTAAATCTGCTTTGGCACTCGGCCACACTAATTTGGATGAGATGTGCTAATGATCGCACTCCTTAGAAATCATTGCAAGTTTTAACAGAGGGCCACAGATACACGCACAACCTTTTGCATTACTGACAGCTTCAGTTAGCTTTGTTATCCACAAATTAATTCACCCCTCCACAAAATAAAAATCCTGCAGAGGGAAGAGCGCTGAAAGGAACGATGGAATTAAAAAATAAAAATAAACACGATCCAACAAAAACTAAAATATAGGAACAACAAAATCTCCAGTGTAAAAATTGGCTTCAATTCTTCTGTGCTCGGCTGTCCTTAGCTAGTCTCTGGTCAGTCTGCTAACTTTTTATGACTGAGGTAGGTTCTCTTTATCTAATGTCAAAATAAAAATGGAAAGCATCACACATTGAGGCCAGTATTGTGTTCTGCTTTTTTATAATTAAAAGGATAAATTCCTGAAAAAACCCCTTCAAGCTTTGTTATCATTCTCTGAACAAAGAAACATCACAATGGGAGAAGTTTAGATGTGCATCACAATCCGGATTTCTCTGCCTTCTGTCCCCGAAAAATTATTCCTGCTCTCTTCAATTTGTTTTGTGTTTTTTGACAGTTTACTAAAAACTACTAAGCCTCCTTTTTTAACCTGTCTGTTCATCACAAATGTGACAAAAATCAGCGCCGCAAACATTGAACGCCCATGGCTAAAAGAGCCTATGGTTCTGAGTCAAATACAAAGAGAGATGTGGTGTTAAAGAGGAGAAAGTTTGGAGAGGAAGAGGAGGAAGGGGAGTGGTAATCGTGATGGTGTGGTGCTTGATTCATTCGGTCTCTTTAATAGAGGCAGGACAATACAGATATTCACTGCAAGGTGATGGTTGGCCAAGAGTTAGAGTCGCTTCCAGTGGTGTACAGTACAAAGAGGAATCCTAATCACTCTAGATTGGATAATCCTTGACAGTGCATGTTTGCGTGTGTGTCTGTTTTGTCTGGAAATTACCCAGAGCTGCTCAAAGGCTCTGATGTTGGGCATAAGGGAGGATTGCTGCATCTAGTGTATTACGGTGTTCCTGTCCTCGAGTGTTTAGCCCCCTGCCACTCTGTCTGTGTGTGTGTGTCAGTCTATGAGGGGACAGAGCTGCTGGGTCAGTAGGCGGTGACCAGGTCCTTGTCGTAGTTGTATCGGCCCCTCTTCGGAGCAGGACTGTCAGCGCTGTCCTCAGTGTCCTCACTGTCTCCCCCTGCCCCTCCCCCTTCCTCCTCAGAGGAGGAGTCAAGAGTCAGATCTACCACTGCGCCTCCTCCTGGCGCCACAGCAGTTCCTCCTGCGGCTCCTCCCATTCCCACTGACCCGTTTCCGGATTTGCCTGTCAGACTGGTGCTGCTGTGGGCTGGTGAGTGACCGTTTGCTTCAGGAATGCCTGTAGACCGGGAAGCCATTTGAAAAAGGATTTAAAAAAAGATTCCCATGCAAGGAAAAGGATAAAAACACACTGAGAACAAGTGGATGAGTTGACAGGGTTTGACACTTACATATGTCAACAACTGGATACTCTGGCGTGTTGCTGCGTTCTCTTTCCCTGTCCCTCTCCTTCTCGTCGCTGATGGGTCGCCACGAGCCGTCGGTTAAATACTCAATCTCCTCAATATCTTCGCTTGTCTCTTTGAGAATCTCAGATAACAGCCTGAAATACAAGTGGTTGATTAGAGTCGCCTCATAACACTTTACACAAGGAAGAGACAGAATACTGAATTCAAGCTTATTTGCAGGAGCCAATCAAAGTGTGTCCTTGTGTCAGTTTCAGGCAGGGTACAGGTCAAGTCTGGAAAATCAACCATGTTGACCATTTTCATGAACATTCTGCTCCTGTTTTGTATCGAGTAAAAACTATAGACTCTATAAACACGATTATATTTAGTAATGAAGTTTTTGAAAGTGAACCCTGAAAGGAAGAGTTGAAGAAGTTTTCATTCTTTGAAAAAGTAAGTGAGAGCCTGTGGCAGAGGCTTGAAGTCGCTTGAAGGAACCTAAACCTCCAAATTGTTGAGGAAGAAAATATTTCATCATGTTTTTTTTTTAATGAAATAGACTGTAAGTGGGACTGCGTGTTCCCTTCTGCTACATAAAAGATTATTCCACCGCTTATAAGGTTAGGTTACCTCAATTATCGTCTTATCTCATGAATGAAGGCAAAGAGGGAACAAACAAGACAATTTAAAGGATCAAATTTTAAAAACAACCTGATTAGAAGAAAATCAAAATTGATCATCACATGATATAAACATGTAAAACAAAAAAAAATGTGCCCAAATATTTGTGCAGCTTTCTCCTTCAAGACAAAACACAAAACAAGCAGAGATTGTTTTCAAAGTAAGATGGTGCTGCAGCAGTGGGACGAGTCAGCACATGCTTGTGTCTCCTTACCCATCGATAGTGAGCAGCTCAAAGGGAGCGGGCTTGTCACAGACAGGGCAAGTCCATGTGGGCTTCTTCTCATTCATCTGCAGGAAGAAGACCGCATCGAAACACTGAAGATGGGCACAGGTTAGAACTCGACAAGGCACACCGAGTCGCATCTTCACCAGCTGTAAAGTGGGAAAGGAAAAGGAGGATACTCAAGTTATCATGTTTTATAGTAGCACAAATCATTAATGGAACCTGGCTTTGGTATATATGAAGGTTCACTTACTGGACAGATGAGAGAAACCCGGAGGCCTGTGGTCGCAATTTCACTCTCCGGGTCAAAACGTAGTTTGTCTTGGACTAAAATGGCAGATAATATATTGTTAAATGTCATGATACCTTATACAATAGTTCATAATATGCTAAATAAACACACAATTGAGTCATACAGTACTAACAAAAAATACATTACTTATAAAAGGGACATTTTCTGACGCTTGTCATATTCGCAAACCAAACTAAAAACTGTAGGCAGATTTTATTAGCAACACTTACTGCGTTCACGACAGCGCTCTGCACTCTCAACAGAGCACAGTTTGAGTTGGCTGAAGAGGTCTGCTGCAGTGAAAACCCTCACCAAATACACAGCCACAGAGTATCGCTGAAAAACACCGACATACATTTTATGAGCATGTTACAGAGACAGAGACACACGCACGCACGGGAACTCATTTAACATTAAATGAACTGAATACAAAAGTCATCCATCAAAGGAAACCTTGCATAGATACTTTTTTCTATCGAGTAATCTTCACTACTGCTACATTTTAATGTTATAATACCCATTCCAAAACACTTTCTACACAAATAAAGCTACATACAAAAAAAAAAAAAACAGTTTCTCATTGTGTCCACTTCAAACTTGCATGTTGCTTATCTCTATTTGGTTTACACAAGAGATCTAAAGATGAGGTTGCTAACAGGATTAAAGGTGTTTTCATCAGGCTTCCAGCTGCTTATCCTGATCACAATTGTGGAGACAACAGTTAAGAGGTTAGTTAAAGTAGTTCACCTCTTGGCCATCAGGAGCATTCTTTTGCAGTTATACCACTCACCTGAGTGGGACACATGACTTAAGGAACTACTTGTCCCAGCTTGTATTAGTGAAAAGTAATATCTGCCAGATGGAGCAGGGCAGACATGCAGAGTGAAAGAAGATTTTGTGCACTCTGCTTGCCGCAAAGAGCTGGATAATATATATATAAGATTCAGCATCAGACTCAGACCTTGCCGAAGTTGCCCCAGGTGACAGTGACTCTGTTGGTGACATTGGAGAGATGCAACCAGGGAGTGATGTTAACAGGACGACAAGGACGGCGGGGTTCAACACCAGGTTTATTAGATGGGTAATATCCCTGTAAGACAAAGAAACACGTACACTTAAGAAAAGCTGAATAATTATATAGAAATCATCCAATGTATCCTTGGAATCACTGTTAAATAATATATAGATATGTATTTTATCATGTACATGTCTTCTTAATGGCTTGGGAACAGTTCAAAAAGAGCTTGAGGTTTGGTGTATAAAAAATATGCAGTCACTTTTTCAAGTGTTAAGTTCCAAATTGGAAAAATGAAAAGACAATGAACAATGTGCCTGTAAACAGTTATAACGGTTCATCTAAACTCCAGAGCATATACAAGGAAGAAAACGATTGGTTACAGCTTCATTATCATTCAATCTGACGCTGCTACAAGAGTTGAAACTTGGACATTCAACAAATGACAGTTTTTCAACTTTTAATACAAAAGCTAACAAATTTCCGGATTTTGTTTTTAAACCACTAATTTTTCACTGTTGTAGTAAGCTCTGACATTGTGGCAACAAAACTCATTCACAACACTTCAAATGGCGTTCTTGCCAGCACCTGAACGTGTGACACAATGTTAACCTGTAAGCCACACAGATTCTGCCAGCTGGAGACTTTCCTCTTGGGGCCTTGCCAGTGAGTTGATGCCTCCAGGATGGCTAAACAATGCTGCCTTACTCAACATCCACCTGCATAAGGTTAGCTAAGCCATCACTAGCATATATTATGACACTAGTTTGGCTGTGAACAGGCAGTAAGTCTGCCACTGACACCCAAACCTATGACTAATTGAGTTCATTTGAAAACAAACAGCTTAGAGTAATGACTGAGGGAATTCCTTAATGAGAACAGAGGAGGAGTCGAAGGCGTGCTGTTGTTCTGAAGGTGTCGCTCGTTTCCGAGAAGATTGTAAACTCACCGGCACATGACAGTAGGACTGGTTGACTTTGACAGCGATGTTGGGAGGATACTGGTCCTCCTGAACACCAATGGAGTCTGTGTAACAGATTCTGCAACAGAGGGGGGAAACAAGAAAGAGAAAGATTAGCATCACATCAGACGTTTTAGCCAATTTGCATCTCTAGAAAATGAAGATTCAAGCACAGAGTCAATTGATAAAAAGGAGACATCTGGAAATTTGTATTTGCACAATGCATGGTAAAAGTATCATTTTGTTCTTGGTGCGTCTTTGAGAGACATTCTGATGAAGAGCAAACCAAAGCACATATACAGAATCAGTATTGTTAATTCGATATCAATTTTAATGAGAATTGAAAACTTACCTAAGTACCACTTGGATTGATCTGATGCCCGGACGAAGCTCACTGAGAAAATAAAAAATGGAATAAGCGTTACAAAGTTTATAAATTAAACCAATGTAAACAGTACAGATCTTAGAGAAATATTTGATGTCTTACCTTGCATTTCGAATCTGGTCTGCTTGGCTCGGTGTTAACTCAAATATGCACTGACTGTCTTGCAGTTTTTCATTGTTCTGGGCGACTACAAGGGTAGACAAAAAAAAATCATAAGCTTTAGATAAAGCATTTCTACTAATATAATTGGTTAAATGTGGTATAACTATAAACACTAACTTAGCTCTGTGGGTAACAACAGTGTCTCCAAGGTTTGGTAGAAAGGCAGTGGCACAAGCTTGACCTCTGCTGCAGGTGCTTGGATTGGTTTGGAAATGCCGTTGAGGTAGTCTGCGCCCTGAGAGGTGGCAGTGGGAGAGGAGCTGAGGGATGAGTAGGCAACCGGGGCGCCCTCTGGACGCCGTGCTGCAAGCCAGCCAGATGTTTTGGGGAAGCGTGACTCGTAGAGCTGTCTGACATTCTTCAGAAGCTCTGGGCTGTAATCAGTCTGCACTAGCCTCAGCGCTCGCCCCACAAGGTCCTGTTTCAGCCCACTTTTGCTGCGACCCATCGAGGCCAGCAGTGTCTGCAGGTCCGAGACCCGAAAACTTTTAACCATGTTCTAGAGAGAGAAAATAAAAAACATATATATATATAAACGCACACACAGAGAGAGAGAGAGAGAGAGAGAGAGAGAGAGAAAGAGAGGTCTCTAAAAAGGAAAGGTTTAAATCACAATACACTCTAGTATTTGATCAAAATGCAAAGCCATTAACCACATAGTGCCAATGGCTTTGGATTTCTTTAAATTTTGAAGGGCTTGAAGAAGGCAAAAGTCAGACAGTTTTATTCTTTTTTGCAGATATTCCGCCTCATTTTCATTCCCTCGCTGTCAGGAAGAATAGCTGTTTACTTGTGTCCATCGAGGTGGATGATACAGTCAGGTACTTAAATTCTATGAACATCTTCTGTAACTGTGTAAAGTTTCTACTCCAAAACAATGCTAAGTTCAGTTCTTGGGGAAGTTTTGCCTCAACTTAGGCCTACCGGTTAAATATTCCTGTGACAGCCGGCACATCATTATTTACAATCAATTTAATTAAAATGCTGTATTAAATGTGACACGGAGGTTCCTGAAACTGTTTTTAAACCGGCCCAAATTAGCTGCTGTCCTTACAAGTCGCTTTAATCCTATAGAGGCTTGAAGCTGCCTTGTAATTATCCGGATATAGTAGGACGTCATAGGGTCTTCATTGTGACCGCTTGCATGATGGCCTGCTCATTCCCAGCATCCCCTTATGAATCCAAATGTAATCCTAAGGGATAACCTTCAGGAGGACCCTAACTCTTCTGGTTCTGCAGACTTTTCCTATGACTGTACCTTTGCTTTAAACTGTATTACATACACACACTACAGAGTCACATGTGTCACAGACAGAAACCATTTTTCCCTTGACTGTGTTAAGTTCAAGGATATTAATCAATATGTTTAAGAGGACTTTTGTTTGTATTTGTATTTCAAAAGAGACAGGTGGAGTGTGCATTGTATGATGTGTGCATGCATACAGTATGACCATGAATGGTTGATTAAACCTTTAGGGTGAACCTGACCAACTCCTGCAAAATGCACAAAAACAACAATGTAGCCCTTCACTGACAGGCAGCATGTGAATCAATCCCAGAGGAGTCACTGCGATCTAGAGTCTGTCCTGACTTTACACATGAACTCTGTTTTCCCAGCAGCATGTACCACACTTTGAGGACAAACCATAACAAACAGACGATCGCAGTAAAGTGCAGTCGTCGTATTTGAATGTGACCTAATGTTTCAAGTGGGGAAAGTTTTGGTTTTACTCTCTCGCCATTTCTTCTCTCCTACCATACATTGCCCATCCTACCTGAATGAAAGTCGCTTTTTATTTATTTTTTCTTCTTTTGTTGTTTTTTAAGCTGTGGATGCTTGTATGTGTGTGTGCACTTTAAAAGGTGAAGCCAAACAATTTCGTTGTACAATAGTATAATGACAATAAAGCCATTCTATTCTCTCGTCATTTTAATTGGGGGGTAACTACATTAGTTTACAATGTTTACACAATATTGTTGAGTGAACTTGGGTTTTCTCAGGACAGGCCACTTAAGCCTGCATACCCGTGGATGTTCATTTAACTTGCATACTTGACTACTGAACAAATGGATTAAAGTTTTTGTTGAAAAAACAACAAAACAAAACCAAAAAAACAGAGCTTTATTACAAGCTTTGTGGTTTGAATTGTCTCAGTGTTGGGTAGGTGGCACATCTTCAGTCTAATGTTATGCTACATCTCACAATAAAGCGACTACCACAAAGGCTTCAGGGTGGACATTTATGTGCACACACACACATACACACACACACAAAAAAGCCGCAATTAAGTTAGAAACTGCTCATTTTCCATCTTTGGCTGAACCTTAACATCGTACCCGACGCTCCTCGGCCGACTAGCTTCCCTAAAAGACTGAGCTGTCGGTATTCAATCATCGCGACTGGACGTTTTGACAGGTGCATCGCTCCTTAAACTAACCTGCTTTACGACACACATGCATTAATGTAAGCCAGTGATTTTAATAGGCGAGATACGGGAGGCGATATCAAATCAAACCCGGGCGAGTTTTAGGGTCATATCATTCATTCTCTGAGTCCCCCCCCCCACCTTTTGAAGCAAGCATGATGCTAGCCGAAGCAACGCACTTGCCTACAGAACATTGTGTAGCAGGCTAGCTCGGTTAGCAGCACAGGCTAGTTTGTCTCGCCGTGAACAGATGCGGCACATGTGTTGGAGCGCAACCTCTTCACTATTTTCTTGCTAATCCCCTAGTTTCCCCACGGCCCGGGTTGGCTATCAACCCCACACGCCCGTGCCTGTCTCCCATCAAAGCAAACTAGCCAAGCTCTACTTGCCATCGCTTCCACCAGTTCGGCCGCCATCTTCGGTGCAGCAGTACCGCGAGAGTCAGAGACGACGGCTAGTCTTTCACCAATGAGACGCAGGGGCCGCTTTGATGGACGGCGAGCTTTAGCCAATCACAGCGCAGGTTTCACCAGCACCCGAAGCACAAAATACAAAACGGGCGGGATCACGATTTTTTAAAGTTACAGTGCAACTTTTAAAAAAACACTACGAGCCAGGTCTAATTTCAGAACTAGGCCCCAGTATTCATTATTAAAAATCACATGACAATATTTTTGCGACCCAGGATTTTGGGGTCTTATAATATCGAGTTCTTGTGATTGTGCTTCTTTAAAACCTTTTAACTTCGAAGAGGATACTAAGCAGGGACTATCAAGTGGCCCGGGTCGCATGGTCTGTTCAGCTCCCGTCCGAGCAAAATAATCCGTTTCAGGCACTGTGTCCAGCCATGAGATTTTGGAGTTGATGCTTTGTTTAAGGTATGTTCATAATTAAACAAAAAAAAAAGGTTAATATACACACCACCAGGTCAGAGTATGTCGTAGTCATACCCTGCCTTAAACAAAACAATGTTTTTGTTTGTGCCACGTAATTACTAAACATAGTAATGCGAATGCAAACCACAAATGTATGCTCCCTCTGGTGATCCAGCCCATTTTTTCCAAAAGCTCCTCATACGTGGGAAAGAATAGCCTCTTGAAAACACTAAAACCAGTTGAAGGAGCTAGAGTATCATGTAATTATCATAAGGTGTGTTTTATGCTTTGCTTTGCATGTGAACACTAAAAAGAAAACAAAAAAAATATATGTTGCATTCACAAAGACAACTGGCTTTGTCACTGTTTTGCTTTATGGAAAAGGCAAGACAAGATTATTAATAAAGCACATTTCAACAACAAGGCAATTCACAGTGCTTCTCTCACGACATCAAATGCATCATGACAAAGGAAAAAAGGAAACATTAAAATAGAACATCTTAAAATCATTCAAACAAACCAATAACAATCACAGAGAAGATTAAATATGTTAAGAAAACAAACAAGAACCAAAATAAATACAGAAATATGATATGATTATCCATGAGGTTATCTATGACTGTATTTCATGAACAAACAACAAGATTAAAAAGTCAATTGGCAAATGAAGACCGGAATTACAGCTTGTTTTGTACAGCTCTCTATATCAGAATGAAAATATTAATTCAGTTTTTATTCAGGTTCAATTTTCTAAAGATAAGTGATCATTGAAAATAACAATTAAAGATCTTGTTAATTTTAAGGTAGCATAGTGCTTTCTTCTGATTATGTATAAAATGTATTATTTAGACAGAAGAGGGCAATGCAGCCCATGTTTTCACCTGACACTCATTTAATGCAATGTCACTTAATAATCTGATAGAACAAAACTGACAATTTACTTTTACTGTCTAATGTGAAGAGAGCTGAGTTGCAACAGTGTCGGCCCACTGGACTCTTAACACGCTGATCAGAACTGACATGCATTTGAACAAGTTAAAAAAAAAGAAGCTTTTTTTCTTTCAGATCCAAGATTGTAAAAAAAAAACATACAACATAGAAAAAATGGACATTGTTAATTTTCCATAATATTAAATTTAAATATTTGACATACTGAAAGTTTGGCATAGCTTCATTGAAGCATTTGAAGAAAGACAAAATGTGTGCAATATGTGTAAATGAGTTCACGGAATTGAGTTCAACATTACTTTTACTTGAGGGGGAAATGAAATGGGAATTTTAGCCATAAGAGAGAATGCTTAGTTTTATCACGGATCAGATGTCTTATTAAACCTCACAATCGGCCAAAATCCCAAGAGAGACCTTTAACTGTTCACAATACATATTATAATTATTCAGTTTAAACAACCTTCTCTATTTCAGCTATAGGGAAAAATGGGATGTTACATCATTGTTCATGTATTGTGCTGTCTTTTATTTGGAACGTAAGTATACAATCAAGTTTTAATTGAATTTTATCGAATTGAACTGAATTGAATTGTTGATTGATCCTCAATAAGCACCAATTAAACTTAAAGGATACTTTTAATTGAGATGTTAATTCATAAATAGAGGCCTAATACATCATTAAAGAACAAAAACACATGTTCTTTATAAAATTTGTGAAACATTGAAATCTTTATTACATTAAAATACAATACAGTAGGCTATATTAAATTTGTGCTGAGGCGAGGCCATTCTGATCTCTGAGATGGATATTCAAGATATCTTCTACTTTTATAACTGAACTCACTTGGCTGCAGAATAAAGACTTCTCATTCATATTGGAATACTGTTTTCTGAGGAGAAAAAAGATCATTATTTTGTTTTTTCCCCATCATATGCATTTCTGTTATTATGTCCACATATACATCCAGGCTCTTTCTAAAGAAAAAACTCAGGTGACTGAATATGTTTTGTCTCCATAAACAATGAATTTGACCCATTAATTAATGCTCTCTGGCAATTGAGGTAATTCTTTGGATAGCATCCCCATGGACAAAGCACTTTAACAGGATAACAGGCCTACCAAAAGGCCTTTGATTCAACAGTGTCCATCTTTTGCACACCGTCTTACTAAATCTTGAGTGTTTAATCTCCCGTAATTACAAAGATTTGCTTAGGTTAATAAATAATAATCCGCTTCAATTGAGACCCCCCACCTAGACCTCCCCCGTGCCTTCTTTACCCCTTTCTGTGAGGGATAAATTCACAGTCATTTAAATAGCATCCTCTTCGCAACCCTGATGCACAACTCTTTGATTCAGGAGGAAAAAGCTGTAGGACACTGAGAAAGTTCTTCATCAGAGAAATTATATTATGACATTTAATTAATCAAAGTTTGTTTTCAAAACGAAATGGCCATCCTTGGTCTTTTAGTCTGACGTCATTTCCACGGGTTGAGATTGTGTCGCTCGTGAGCGTGTCAAGGTTAACAACAGTTGAGAGGCTCATCTTTATCTGTGATCTTGTCAACAGTAAGACTTCGGAGTAGGAAGCGAGGCGCATTGTCGTGTTCAGTTTCTGAAGAGTCCTCATCTTCAAAACAGTCATGCTGTGAAACTCTGACCATACGTTTTTGGAAGGCTTTTGGAAGAGAAACTTTTCATTCATCACCTGATACTTTTCAACTGCCAGTTTGGAACCAATAAAGCCTTGCTAATGAGTCGGAGTTGTCTTAATTCGGAGATGACAATGGAGGACAGAAACAGCCGGAATGGCGGCAGAGAGAGACTTGGACTCAGCTTCACTATCGACTACCTTTTGTTCAATAAAGGTGTCAAAGGTTCTAGAGAAGAGGCAACAGGAAGTCGCACAGTTGAAGAGACGGCGAATAACATGGTAAACAATCAGAGTCCTAAACCCAAAGAGGTTGGGAATGACTCTGAGACACATGAGAAGCGGCTACAGCGTTTGGAAGCACAGACGGAAGAAAGAAAAGTCAAAGAAGAGGAGGGGGCGGAAGATCAGCAAAAGGAAGGGGAGGAGGAAGTGACCACCACCACATTTACCGGTCCAGAGAAGTCAGCGGACAAACCCAACCAGTCGTACATCGCGCTCATCTCCAAGGCAATTCTGGCATCAGAGCAGAAGAAACTGCTGCTGTGTGACATATACCAATGGATCATGGACCACTACCCGTACTTCAAGAGTAAGGTGTGTTCACATCAATTTCTCATGTTATTCTATATAGCTAATGTGCAGAGATCTACATGGAGTAAATTACACTATGAGCAAGTTTTAGAACTTATTGGGGAAATATAGATAGTCAAATGCGATGAAACACTAGTTTAGAGACTACGATACACCCGATCTCTTGTCTTTGGGTCTATCTTCAACTGAACCATAGTTTGTTACTTTGATTAGTCATCGCATTGACTGGTAGGACAATCACAAGGTGGATACTGAGGTAGCGCTTTTTTCCAAAGTCGTTGATATGCTTCGTTCGTTTGCGGCAAAATTCATAAGTAAAACGACCTACTTGGAACACGTAATCTGTCTGAGTGGTTAGGCAATTAGGTGCTCTCGGGGACACTAGATGATCTTCTTGTTGGCAAATTCACAAATACAGTAATCCTGTTGCTAGGTTGCAAACTGCCTCTGCCTTTACCAGGTGCAACAACAGATTGGACATAGCCTAGTGGATTAAAGTTGATCGGTGGTTTGACGTGCTAAAAAGGTAACTCGGGGTGTTGTGTCTTACAGCGATCATATACGGTCTTGACACGCTCTCGCGCATCCTGCCAACAACAGGACAAGGTGACATCCTGTGAAGGATCAGTGATACTTAACTGTCACCTATGTTAATTTTCAATTAGGGACTCCCATTGTTTAACACGAAGTTTCAGGTTGTAACCAAATGTATTTTTTCTAATCGCTCCAACAGGATAAAAACTGGAGGAACAGCGTGCGCCACAACTTGTCACTGAACGACTGCTTCATCAAAGCGGGCCGCAGTGACAACGGGAAAGGCCACTTCTGGGCAATTCATCCATCGAACTACCAGGACTTTTCGAACGGGGATTACCACTGCCGGCGGGCACGGCGGAGGGTACGCAGGGTGGCAGGACAGCTCCCTCTTCCTTCTCTTCCCTCCCCCTACCACCCTGCCTTCACCCGGCCTCACAGAACGACCTGTTGGTGCTGCCCTCAAGCCCAATCACTCCCTCTGTCCTGCTTGGCACCAAGACTCTACTGGCCATGGTCCAGTGTGCAGCCTCAAGTGGGGATCCACCCTGGCCTGCGGACCTCCGTACCCTGAGAGAGAAAGTAGTTTGTGTTTTTGTATGTATGTATCATGTTTGCTAAAGAATATGTCATTAGATGGTGTTAAAACTCAAATGAACTCTGAAAGTGTTACAATGTTTAGGCTGTTCAACTATGAAATTAAATGTATGACTCCTGAATACTATTCATCTTTTATTTGTAGTTTGGGTTTTAAAGCATAACTAAATCCATTTTTTGTTATAAACTCATTAAATTATATTGAACTCAAAGCCTTGTGTTGTCTTTAATCAACTGCCTCAGTTGTGTATGCGTGCGTGTGTGTGTGTGTGTATGGGTGTATGTGTGTGTGTGTGCACTTGCCTGTTCCTGCAGATTGCACTAAAAGTGAGCCCAAAGCTAAAACACTACTCAGTGGTGGATGCTAATTAGTCAAAGCTGTCGGGATGCAAAATCTTCTGCCTAAAATCGGGTTTTCCAAAGCCACCCCCCATTGATATGAGGCTAGATAATCTGAGCAATCCCAAATAGTTTAAAGAAATGGGAAGATTATCACACAGTGTAATCCGTAACCACTGCTGCAGAAAGAGGGGGACAGCGGGAGGCCGGGGATGAAGGAAGCAGAGGAAAGGGAAGGAGGCAGGGAGAGAGGGAGGAGAGGGGACACAGATTTATTGGAGAGAGGTGGGAAGCTTTTTAACAGACTCCAGCTTGGAAAGAAGATAAAATGCATAAAAGCTTAATGTAAATGGGTGAAGTATCCGTTTAACAATTGAGATCCTTATGTATTCATTTGGTGTCATGAATTGAAACCAGCTTGTGCGTGCATGAGACCGCCGTGTAACGACTGTGAACCAGTTGTCGCTGCAGTTGAAACCAATTCTGTTTTCGTTGGCTGGATGCATGGAGGACATAATAAAGACATTAACCTCCCTCTTTAAGTGTTTGTGGTACCAAATGTCATTATGATCTTTCAAATCTGCTGATTTAAAGTATATCTGCTGATATACTTGAGTTTACATTGAACACAAATTCACTGTCATGACCATGCCAGCTGTTTATTACTACTATTATTTTTAAGCTCTATGTATGTATTTTTTAAAATGTAAATAAACATAGGAAAAGACAAAGAAAAAACAATAACCTAAAGTGTCTTTAAAACCAGAGCCGTGCAGTGATATCAAAATATTGCCATAATCAGGTTTAAGTCAGTTTTACCTGTCCAGCTGTCACATCAATAGAGAAATTCCTCTCTGAAATGCAAATGTTGGCATTTACATCCACGCTGCTCAAGCCGAAGAGGATTAGGTCATACATTGACTTTCCTGAACTTTGTTTGTCTCCACTCGTGTGGGCTTTTTATTTGCAAATTATTGAATATTTGAATAAGGCGATGTTTGACATTAAATTAGTCTCCAAACAGACAAACGATATGTCAGATGGATAAAGCTTAAAAGTGGAATAAAGAGAGACGGAGTGGTTGTTATCCACCGCGGCTATTATCTGGCGATGCTCATTAGAACAATGACAAATCCATCTAATTAATTTTTGTTCACCAAATCTTCCTATTCAATGTCAACAGCTAATTGGAGACCTAATTTGCTTAATTCCCATGAATAGCGCTCTGCATCAAATCCTCTTCAATTCACCGAGCTTTAAGGCTTTAATTTGGTTGCATATGTTTGCTGTACACACACACACACACACACACACACACACACACAACACACACACACACACACACACACACACACACACACACACACACACACACAATATACAAACCTATCCCACATGCAAAAATTTGCAATTTACACTCAACTCCTAAAACTCTTGTAGTAACAAATGTTGTGGTTTGACTTATAAAGATGGTGTAACAAAAAAGATGAAATATTTTAAAGAACATCCCTTATGTTCAACAAACTCATACCAAATTCTAATTAGGCGAACAAGATTGAGGTCATAAGCTTGGTGTATGTGGGTTTGTGTGTGTTCATATGTGCATGTCATTTTGGTAATCTAATGAGATGGGCGGAGGGGTGCAGGGGGCCGTAGATTAAGGCACAAAGATTTGTTCCTGATTAGCAGAGAGTGAGCTAAGAAGATCAGTCCCACTGAGATGGCGATGAAGCATTATGGCCGTGTTTTATTACACTTCTCATTAACAGTGGCATTCCAAGGCTGATTCCTGTATCTCATTCATTTGGAAACAAAGTCAGCCTTCACCCGTTCACACAACATGTGAAGCCAATATGTGCAAATAGTTTAAAGGGATACATGCAGGAGAGGGAAAGATCTGCCCTTCACTCAGCATGAAGCTAAAATTGTGTGAAATGTATCAATTGAAAGCCCTAGAATGGATAACACCCAACACCTTTTAGAAATGACTTTGAAAATATCTGTTATTTTAAAGTCAACATTATCAGCTTTTGTCTTTATATTTCTATTAAAATCACAAGACACAGTCAGTTACATTGTTTATTGCTTCCTAATACAAATGATCATTTTACAAATAGCTTAAGATAGAGGGCTCAAATCGATTAGGATTAATTTGCATATTTTACTTTATTAATTGACAAAATTACCTTACATCTTGAATAAAGGCTTTAAAAGAATTTAAAAAGGGAAAATGAATGATCAGATATGATATTTGGGGACTGCATGATTTCAATAAATAATATATATTTGTTTTGATGTTTCCAATAACTTGAAATCCTACGAACCAAATCATATTTAGTGATGTCTTGATCTATGACAAATGTAGACTTTTAGGTGCAGAGTTATGAAAAATCACACGATAACAGAAAATCTTGTTTTCTGTTTTATCTGCTCACTTGATTCAATAATATAGCTCTTTTTTTTTAAATCCAGTAAGAGAAACACATTCAAAGTTTTCAGCTCAAGTCTGATATTTTATGTGGATTGTCTGTCCAACGCTTTTTGCGTGCAATTAGTTTTAATTATTTATTTTATATTTAAAGCTTCAGTATAGCCCACATTTAAGAAACACACTAAGATGCGGTAGAGAAAAACCTCAGCATGCTCGGTTTACTGCCTGTTTAAAGATAATGAAGAGAGGCCTGATTATAAGCTAATACAAAAACAATTAGTTTGAAATGAAAACAACACAAAAAGGGGAATTTTAGGAGTAGCTAAATTGACTACTAGGTTAATTTTGTTCATAAAAAATAAGATTTTTTTTCAGCGTTATTTGGACAACTTTATTTTTTGCCTTTTCTCGGAGTTGTGAGTAAAATGTGTGACAGCAACTGACTGTTTGAATATTCTCCCAATAAAAGCAGCTCTGAAGGAGTCCAAATTGCGAGTCTGTTGGAAAGCATGATTACAAAGAGGTAAGTAGTATTTAAGGCTTAGGAAGCGTTATAGTTGAACCAAAACCAGCTGCTATTTTCTGGTTGTGTCCCACTATGAACAATAGCCTGGCGTTACCTCGGCTTCAAAGGCTCCATAATAGTCAATCGATCAGAACGCGAGGCGCTATTCTGCAGATTACTGTTAACAATAATTTGCCTCCTAGTGCACCGTTACCATCTTTGAAGCAATGTTTTATTGCCTTTTTTTTTTTCATCTGCATCTGTCATCCCCGAGGTCCACTGTTTGATCTCTCCTCACCAGTGTCTGCCTCCCCGGGGTCGCGTTGACCTGTTGATTGGCAGCTGCGATCAGACATATGGTGGGACGATGCATCGACCGGAGGTCCCCGCGGACAAAAGCAGACTAGTGGTGTTTTTTCCCCCTCTTTGAGCGTGCGGAGGAGCTGGGCAGCAGCACCGAGGAAGAGGACTCCTCCTCCTCTCCACCACTAGATGACGCAAGGTGCAAGCGAATACTGCCAGCAAGGGTCCGACCATTTCAGGTGAGTTAATGTGGCAGTTCGTCCTTTTCTTATTTAGCCTATTTCCAGTGATCCTTACACAAAATAGGAAACACACACACACACACACACACACGCAGCATATGGTGGATTCGTTTAGAAAAAAGAATCATCATTTATTATATCAATAGCTAATTTCACCATAAATTATTTCCAAGATGTTTCACCTCAGATGCTTCCTTTTTTTTAGTGACCCCTTTAAATAGGGTATAATGGCAGAATATGCTTCCACTTGTGCATCTTACAGGTGTAGCAGGCCAAATAATTCAAATGGATTAATTAAAGCGACTAACCAGTAGGCCTTTGCCAGCTCGCTTCTTTAGATTTTGCTAAGTGTGTTTAAGTACAGTGGAAACCAGTTGGGTGGGTAAGCAAGAAACACAGATGTGATGCTCATCCTGGTGTTCATGTGTATGTGCATTACCTCAGTCAGCATACAGAATGCAAAACACCCCCATCTCTCCTCCTATAGCCAGAAGAGTGTTGCCATGGTGATGCATCCCTGGCCAGGGTGTTGCAGTGATCCACACTGACCCTTGTTGGTGACCTCTGACATTTAGGCCATGGCCAGGGTCAAAAGGTCAGCGATGGCCGAAGGGCAACAAGAGCACTTCTATGATTGGCACTCTGACATGCTCACTGCCCCCCATCTCCCCTCCGCTCTGTTTGCACCTCTCATTTGCATTTGTTACAGAGATCATCTACAGGAGGTTCATTCCAGTGATTCACATTACACCTTTACAGGTAGCCTCTGTGTTGACGCTAATGCAAGGCTCACTAAATTATTGTTTGCTATAAATGCTGCTCCACGTTGTCATTTTCTCTGCTTTGGTTTTGTGTAAATGGTGATGGTGACGCGCAATCTCCAGCTAACATCCTGTATCGTGATGGTTATGATTGCAGTAATGGTCATCAGTATTCCCATTGCGCCTGCACTCCTGTGTATGTGAGGATATTTATAGTTCTTTATGTGATAGTGTGTGTGTGTGTGTGTGTGTGTGTGTGTGTGTGCATATATTACTAGGGGGTTGGGGCAATGCACCACACCGTGCCTCTCCTCGTGGGGAATAATTACAGAATCGTGGGTACTAAAAGTCATGTGACCCTCGCCTTCTGCTCCCAAATAATTTATGCCCCCGGCT